TCTCTTCTAAAGGTGTACTAGTAAATGAACTAATATCAGATTATGATATTGATTTATTTGGTCTTACTGAAACCTGGCTGGGTGATGGAGAATATGTTAGCCTAAATGAATCCACCCCTCCCATATGATCAATCTATCTTTATCAACAGGCTATGTACCACAGTACTTTAAAGTAGCTGTAATTAAACCTCTTCTGAAAAAGCCCAAACTTGATCCGGATGTTTTAGCCAACTATAGACCTATATCTAAACTTCCATTTCTCTCTAAGGTTCTGAAGAAAGCAGTTGCTAAACAGCTGTGTGACTTTCTACAGAGCAATAGTTTATTTGAGGATTTTCAGTCAGGATTTAGAGCTCATCATAGCACAGAGACAGCACTGGTGAAAATTACTAATGACCTCCTTATTGCATCAGACAAAGGACTTGTCTCTGTACTGGTTTTATTAGATCTTAGTGCTGCATTTGATACCATTGACCATCAGATCCTATTGCAGAGACTGGAATATTTCATTGGCATTAAAGGAACCGCTCTAAGCTGGTTTAAGTCCTATTTATCAGATCGATTTCAGTTTGTACATGTTAACAATGAGTCCTCCATGCACGCCAAAGTTACTCATCGAGTTCCTCAAGGATCTGTCCTTGGACCAATCCTCTTCACTTTATATATGCTTCCTTTAGGCAATATTATCAGGAAACATTCCATAAGCTTTCATTGTTATGCAGATGATACTCAGTTATATCTATCGATCAAGCCAGATGAAACTCATCAGTTAGCTAAACTTCAAATGTGCCTTCAGGATGTTAAAACCTGGATGACCTGTAATTTTCTTATGTTAAACTCAGATATTATTGCTCTGGGGCCTAAGCACCTCCGTGACGCATTATCTAAAGATATAGTTTCCCTGGATGGCATCACCTTGGCCTCCAGCACCACTGTGAGGAATCTTGGAGTTATCTTTGATCAGGACATGTCGTTTAAGTCTCACATTAAGCAAATTTCAAGGACCGCCTTTTTTCACCTACGTAATATTGCGAAAATCAGGAACATCCTGTCTAAAAATGATGCAGAAAAACTAGTCCATGCATTTGTTACTTCTAGGCTGGATTACTGCAATTCCTTATTATCAGGCTGCTCGAAAAAGTCCATTAAGACTCTTCAGCTGATCCAGAATGCTGCAGCACGTGTTCTGACAGGAACCAGGAAAAGAGATCATATTTCTCCTGTTTTAGCTTCTTTGCATTGGCTTCCAGTAAAATCCAGAATAGAATTTAAAATCATTCTTCTTACCCACAAAGCTCTTAATGGTCAGGCACCATCTTATCTTAAAGAGCTCATAGTACCTTACTACCCCACCAGAGCACTGCGCTCCCAGAATGCAGGGTTACTTGTGGTTCCTAGAGTCTCCAAAAGTAGACTAGGAGCCAGAGCGTTCAGCTATCAAGCTCCTCTCCTGTGGAACCAGGTTCCAGTTTGGGTTCAGGAGGCAGACACCATCTCCACATTTAAGAGTAGGCTTAAGACTTTCCTCTTTGATAAAGCTTATAGTTAGGGCTGGCTCAGGTAGTCCTGAACCATCCCTTAGTTATGCTGCTATAGGCCTAGACTGCCGGGGGATTTCCCATGATGCACTGAGCTCCTCTCTCCTCTACTTTCTCTCCCTCTGTATGCAACCTCATCCCATTATTGCATGTTACTAACACAACTTCTCCCCTTTCTGGTAGTCTTGTGCTTTCTCGTCTCTCTCCTCTCTCCTATCACTTCCTGCAGGTTTTCTGGCTCTGGAGCTGTGGAGTCTGGATCTGTGGTTGCGGGTCACCTGCTGCCCCCGTGTTCCTGCTCGACACCCTCTGCTGCAACGACTATTGTTGCTAGTCTTATTGTTATTATTGTTATTATAATCATTAACATTACGATGGTTACCATTAACACTATTATAAATATCTGTACCATTTTTCATTTAGTCTATAGCAACATCACCTTTACTGTCTGTACCTCTGTGTGGATATTGTGTAGGCTGCCTCCCTCCCCTCTCTCTCTCTCCTTACATCTCTCTCTTCTTACATCTCTCTCTCTCTCTCCTTACATCTCTCTCTCTCTCTCTCTCTCACCCCAACCGGTCGAGGCAGATGGCCGCCCACCCTGAGCCATGGTTCTGCTCGAGGTTTCTGCCTCTTAAAAGGAAGTTTTTCCTTGCCTCTGTCGCCTAGAGCTGCTCTTGGTGGGAACTGTTGGGCTTCTGTAAATAGCATCATAGAGTACGGTCTAGACCTGCTCTTTTATGAAAAGCGCTGTGAGATAACTGTTGTTGTGATTTGGCGCTATATAAATAAAATTGAATTGAATTGAATATCCTTCAACCAAGTCCAGTTGCACTTCACTTTAACCTTCTGAGAACCTTCACAGATATCTGTGATATCCTTATTTATTTTCGCTGTATTGTTCTGTTATTGTACCCCTAGCTATAAATACATCAGTATCCCTAATGTGAAGTATCCATTGCAATGTTAAGATTGGTGATATATGTTGCTATTTGATATTATTAAAAAGGAAGAAAAAAAGACAGACAGCAAGAACTGTGATTGGTCGGCATGGTAGCCTTCAGGAAGTGCTCCGTTCTTTGAAGTACATTTTATTATTAACAATAATAACAGTAATTTTATTGCATCTCTTGACTCGCACAGACTTCACTCAGTAAAAATCTTGGAACTCCATTATTACGTTACAAGTCACGGACCAGGTAATGCAACAGCAGGCACTAGAGTGCAGATGGTTTCGTTGTTTCATAGGCTACGTCATTAACAAGCCGGCATGCGGCTCACCTGCTGCCGTGATAACAGATCACGGGTGGAAAAATATGAAAAAAGACGAGTTCTGTGTGTTTTAGGCGACTTTATAAAACACACTGCTGATGGAGAAAGTGGAGCAGACAGGCGGAGAGAGACAGAGATGTAACGTTAGGTGTGTGTGAGTGTGGAGAGAAGAGAATTCAGAGACAGGTGCAAACCAGGTATTTTTAAAAATGATAATGTTTTTGGGGATTAAATCCTGCTTTCACCAGCCATCAGCCATCACCGATGGCATCGTCTATCGGCCCAACCCCAGTGTGTGGATGCTACCACGGTACTTGATCAATAAAGGAACTTCGAGGTTGAAAAGCCATTTGATCAGAAAAAAGCGAAGCTACCACCACACTACTGAGAAATGTAGTTAGACTTGTAACACTGCAGCTACATTAATCTCAACAAATTTAGTAGTTGTTGAGATGAACCATCAAACACTTCTATCCACAGCTGGACTGGGACAAAAAAATTGGCCCTGGCATTGTTGGCTCAGGCGGCTCACCTAAATTGGTGAGACACTTCTCACCGATACACCATCCTTCCATATATAACATGTGTACCTACTGTAGACAAACAAGCCGAGTGGTATGTGCCATGGATAAGTGCACCAGTGCAAGTGAATCAGTGTACTCATATGTTATAATCATCAACCTTAATTGAAGTAATCATCATCATTGTCACTACAGCATGGCACACATCCTACCCAAGGGCTTCACTTTGTGTTGAACAGTGGTGGGGACATTTAAGGGCTCAGATTAGGGGGGTGACGACACACTTTGCCCATGAGATGTGACATTGCACAAGATTGGGGTCACAAGAACAAGACAAGAATCTATTTGAATACCATTTTGAGCATTAAACACTCTTCCTGCATTCTGGGGATATTTTCTGCACCAATTTATGGTAGAATGTCTTTATTTATGTAAAGGGAAGCACAAATTCAGTTGGCAAGTGATGATTCAGAATATAAAAATGTAATAGAATAATGCAGTAATCTGTAGCTCTTATTTTAGCTTAAGTTACTTTCAGTTTTTTCTATGTTTTTATTGCATTGCTGGTTTTCAGAATAGTGCAAATAAACCTTTCTCAAAGCATTTTCATTTGTTAATTAACATTTCTTAACATTAACATTTTTAACAAATGCTTTGAAAAAGTGATGTGGACAACATCTGCCATTTCAAAAAGTGGTGGGGACATGTCCCCAGCGTCCCCAGTGTAAATGACACCTATGACCCTCCCTCCCTGCTCCCTCCCTACAGGCTGAGCTACTCCATGCTTACCGCTTCACCTCCACTCTCCTCCTGCTAACATATCGGTTATTTTGCGCATTTGGTGGCATCCATCTGAAGAATTTTACATTTTTTTTGGCCCGCAACTCAAGAAACAGAAGGCAGAGGAGGAGGGGGGGAGGGGGAGGGGGGGGGTTCAGTATAGAAAATTACCCAATGTGCTGCGGTACATGCTTTATGGGCCGACCGTTGGCCCATTTTTTACAACAGTTGAATAAATAAGTAATTTATGTTACACCGGCCCCAAAGATTCGTCGGCCCACAAGGCATTTACCTGGTATGCCAGATTACCAGTCCACCCCTGATTCTATCCATAGAGAAATGCTGCAAGCAGGTCTCACATTAGAATGATTTTACATCCAAGTTTCTGATGTTTCTAATGGTTTCCAATCGATAAGACTTCTGGAGAGCCGTGTGTTTCCTATCTCAGGCTTACTCACTGCTCTGAACAGAATGAGGAGGAATAAAAAAGTCCTTCATGATGATGGACTCCAGTAGACAGACATAAAATAACAGAAAATAGAGACACCTGCAGTGTGTGAGCTCTTGCTGTCTGTCCAAACCTGAGAGTGTCCAGTCTCCAGTGTGGCTCCTCCAATCCAGCAGACAGCAGCTTCACCCCTGAGTCTCCTGGATGATTGTAGCTCAGGTCCAGCTCTCTCAGATGGGAGGGGTTGGAGCTCAGAGCTGAGGCCAGAGAAGCACAGCCTTCCTCTGTGATCAGACAGCCTGACAGCCTGGAATCAGGAAAACATCATAAACTCTGTGTTTTAGAAAATCATGCCAGCAGGAAAATCTTTACAGACCATTTTCACTAACATGAACCTAAAATCAGATGAAGAGGATTTAAACGAAACAGCTTATTACTGACCTGAGAGTTTCCAGTGTACAGTGTGGACTCTGGAGTCCAGCAGACAGCAGCTTCACTCCTGAATCCTGCAGGTTGTTGTTACTCAGGTCCAGCTCTCTCAGACTAGAGGACTGGGAGCTGAGAACTGAGGACAGAGCTTTACAGATTCTGTCTGAGAGGTTACAGCCACTCAACCTGAAAAAGGATTAGCAATGAACACAAACTAAATGTTTTTTTGTCAAATATAAAATTAAGCGTTTTTGAAATTACATCCACCTACAGAGCTTTGTTGGAGGCTTTGACCACTGGCAGCAGCCTCAGAAGAGCCTCCTCTGAAGCAGAGTATTTCTTCAGGTCAAACACGTCCAGATCTTTTTCAGATGACAGTAAGATGAAGCCCAGAGCTGACCACTGAGCAGGAGAGAGTTTATCTGTGGAGAGACTTCCTGAACTCAGGGACTGTTGGATCTGCTCCACTAGAGAACGATCATTCAGTTCATTCAGACAGTGGAACAGATTGATGCTTCTCTCTGGAGACAGATTCTCACTGATCTTCTTCTTGATGTACTCAACTGTTTCCTGATTGGTCTGTGAGCTACTTCCTGTCTGTGTCAGCAGACCTCGTAGGAGAGTCTGATTGGTCTGCAGTGAAAGACCCAGGAGGAAGCGGAGGAACAAGTCCAGGTGTCCATTTGGACTCTGTAAGGCCTTGTCCACAGCACTCTGGTAGAGATGTGTTAGTTCAGGTTTGTCTCTGAAGACTTTAGACAGCCGGGAGGTTGATTGTTTTTCTGCCAGCAGATTGACACCAGAGTTGATGAAGGTCAGATGGACATGAAGAGCAGCCAGAAACTCCTGAACGCTCAGATGGACAAAGCAGAAGACCTTGTCCTGGTACAGCCCTCTCTCCTCTTTAAAGATCTGTGTGAACACTCCTGAGTACACTGAGGCTGCTCTGATATCGATGCCACACTCTGTCAGGTCTGATTCATAGAAGATCAGGTTTCCTTTCTGCAGCTGCTCAAAAGCCAGTTTTCCCAGAGACTCAATCATCTTCCTGCTCTTTTTATTCCAGTGCCGATCTGTCTCAGCTCCTCCATCATACTTGACTTTCTTCAGTTTGGACTGAACCACCAGGAAGTGGATGTACATCTCAGTCAGGGTCTTGGGCAGCTCTCCTCCCTCTCTGGTCTTCAACACCTCCTCCAGAACTGTAGCAGTGATCCAGCAGAAGACTGGGATGTGGCACATGATGTGGAGACTTTGTGATGTCTTGATGTGGGAGATGATTCTGCTGGCCTGCTCCTCATCTCTGAACCTCTTCCTGAAGTACTCCTCCTTCTGTGGGGCAGTGAACCCTCTGACCTCTGTCACCATGTCAACACACTCAGGAGGGATCTGATTGGCTGCTGCAGGTCGTGTGGTTATCCAGAGGCGAGCAGAGGGAAGCAGGTTCCCCCTGATGAGGTTTGTCAGCAGCACATCCACTGAGGTGGACTCTGTAACATCAGTCAGGACCTCATTGTTGTGGAAGTCCAGAGGAAGTCGACACTCATCCAGACCGTCAAAGATGAACACAACCTGGAACTCTTCAAAGCTGCACATTCCTGCTTCTTTGGTTTCAGCAAAGAAGTGATGAACAAGTTCCACCAAGCTGTACTTTTTCTCTTTCAGCACATTCAGCTCTCTGAAAGTGAATGGAAATGTGAACTGTATGTCCTGGTTGGCTTTGTCTTCAGCCCAGTCCAGAGTGAACTTCTGTGTTAAGACTGTTTTCCCAATGCCAGCCACTCCCTTTGTCATCACTGTTCTGATTGGTTCATCTCTTCCAGGTGAGGCTTTAAAGATGTCTTCTTGTCTGATGGTTGTTTCTGGTCTGTCTGGTTTCCTGGATGCTGTTTCAATCTGTCTGACCTCATGTTCATCATTGACCTCTGCAGTCCCTCCCTCTGTGATGTAGAGCTCTGTGTAGATCTGGTTCAGAAGGGTTGGGTTTCCTGCTTTAGCAATCCCCTCAAACACACACTGGAACTTCTTCTTCAGGTTACACTTGAGTTTACGTCGGCACACTGCAGCAACAGTTCCTGAATGAAGAAAGAAGAAATGTGATAATAAGTGGATGCTGCAGTAAATCTGATAAATGTAAACTTTAAGACATCAAGATGGTATTTATTTTTTTTTCCTCCATGAAATCTCTCAGCTCATCAGCTGTGAACAGTTTCTGAGTTTCAGCCCAGAAGAATTCATAGATCTGATCCAAATGTGTGCATCATATTAACAGCAGAGTTTGAAATGGAAACTTCTCCCATGTTGCCTCCATTTCCTCTTTCCATCATGTTAAATCTGTTCAAATCCTCTTACTGCTCTGCAGACGCTCAGCCAGCTCCTCCTGCTTCATTCTCCTCAGGAAGTGCAGTGTGATCTTCAGAAATGCCTCTCTGCTGCTCCTCCTCTGCTCCTCCTCCTCATCCTCCCTCTGACTCTCTAAGCATTCTGGGTAATCTGGACTCAGAACTCTCTGGAACTTCTTCATCTCATTCTTCACAAACCTGCCAATGTTTTCCTGGAGCAGCTGGAACAGAAGAAAATGTAAAGTTGAACTGGTAGAAGTCAACATCAGATCATCTGTGACAGACAGAAAGCCTGCTGGTCTGCAGAGTGCAGCATGGAGACTGGATCAGAATGCTGCTTCACTATTTACTTTGTGGCTCCTGTAATTAGCAGTAGTAGCTGAGCTTGTACATTTACACACCATAAATATGGAGTCCAGGTCTGTTTGATGCTGCTGGGCAGACTGACCACTGGGAACCTCTGAGCTCTGCTCATCAACTCTGTGAAGAAATATGATGATTTGAACATATAATGACAAACAGTGTTACATGTGCTGTGTTATATCTGGTAGAAACAGATCCTCATACACCTATACCAGATCTTGGTATAAAAATGTATGATCTGGTCACTTTCCATGGAAACACCGCTGGGTGCAGGGTAGACTGGACAGGAGAAAATGCTGCTGTTTTACTCATCCAGCTGTGTCTCAGTGGACATCAGCGGACGAGGAGGCTGCTGAGGTCCTACTGGACTCTAACTGGACTTACAGTTACAGTAAGCAGCAGACAAAAGGGCATGCTCATACTTTTAATATTTTTACTTTCTCATGTGTTTGACATTTGTTTTGCACTGTTCTTTGAACCTGGTTCATTTCTGTGCTGCTGATGTGACATGAGAATTTCCCTCTGGGAATAAATAAAGAGTCTATTATTATTTGTAATTAACAAAAAACAGTGCTGAACCAAGACCTACCTGAGAGCTCTTTTTAGGAGAGTCAACAAAACAACACAAACATTTAAGATTCTTACTTTTGTTCAGCATCATTATGTCCAGCTTTGAAGTGAACAGGGACATGACGGTCGCTGTTCATGGACACACAGCTGGGTCCAGGAGAATCTGGTCTCTGCCGATGGATCCTGAACAATGAAATAACAAATCAGATGTGTCCTCAAAGCAGATTTAATAGATATATTTATGTGTTGGTGTCTCTGGTAGTGAGTTTTCAGCTGAATCTGCAGTTTCTCAGCGTTACAGAGTTTTATAGCGACTTTCAGTTGTTGTTTATCTGTCCAGCTGCATCTTTACTGTTAGTAGCTCAAAACTAAACTTCATTCACCTCCATTGAGCAAGAGGAGGCTCCATAGACAATGTTCTTATACATTCTCAAACCTGCATCCAGCTGTTCGTGGATTTTAAATGTGGTTTTGATATTTGGACTAAGATCTGCAAAATGTGAGACCAGTTTGAAAAAAGGTGAAGAGTTAAGAACATGAAGTGATCAAAACAAAGACACCAAACCTCATCTCAGGACAGACACAAACATTTAACATGCTGACCTTTGATCAGCAGAGTGGTGTCCACCTTTGAAGTTAATAGATCTGTCCATAGACCAGTCACTCTTCATGGACACACAGCTGGGTCCAGGTCCAGGTCCAGGTCCAGCAGAGTCTGGTCCCTGCTGCTGCTCTGGGCTTCAACACAACACACACAGAGCTTTGAGAGTGAATAATGATGGTGGAGTGATTTGAGTCCTGGACAGTTAGAGATCCTCATCTCACCTCTGAGCTTTGGTCTGGCTGTCATGTTCCCCACACAGAGTGCTTTTAGAGGGAGGGACTCCCTCCTCTCTGTCCTCACACTGATTCATAGCAGAGCCCACACCTTCACACAAACACAACAACATGCTGAGAGAGCTGCACTCATTCATTACAACAAGCTTTACATCTCAGGACACTTTAGTTCTCCTCAAGGTCTGTGTCTTTAAATCTTTATTTCTGTCTTTAAATGTTTAAATCATGATCAGAGAGACACAGGATGGCTGATTTTACTTTGGTCCTTCTCTATTCCTGTGAGGGCCCCTGATGGCTGAGGGGCCCTAATCAACCTCTAAGTTCCCCTCCACCCTGGGCTGGCTCTGGTCCATCTAGAAAGGATCCTGGAGCCTCTGGTACAGCTGAGACCTGGGGCCTCATGTATAAACGCTGCCTACGTATAAAAAGGTTACGTACGCTGGTTTTCACGCACACGTGGGATGTATAAAAATGAACGTGATGTGAGAATGTGAAGTCCCTCCACAAACTTTTGTCTGGCTGTCAGTAAACTGCTAAAGTGCCAAAACTCACCAAATGTTTCAAAATAGTGTTTCCACTGCAATTACTGTGCAGATGTCAATGGAGTAGTCTATCAAAATCCTAATTATGTCTTTTGACAAAGGTTTGATCATGTATGTAGTGGTTTAATATCAAAATAAAATTGAATGTGAGAAAAATAGATCATGATGACTTTCACATATTTAATTTCACTTCATTTCACATGTTACCACTTTATCATGTAAACATTCAAACCAGCAGTGTTATTTGTGCTCGCACTAGTCAGCCATAACTATTCCATACTGCACCTTTCAATTGGAAAAGAAATAAAATAAGCCAAGTGCCAACTGCAGGCTGCCTTTCCCCGGTATTAGCCGGTGTGTTTACCTGAGGTGTAGGCCTCTTTAATAATAATGTTCGTTGTGATTAAAACCTGCTTTCACATAGCGGTATAATGTGAAAAATTTAGATTTCTTTTTGGACGGGGGACGGGGTTTTGCAATCACAATGCCATCGCCGATGGCTGACAGATGGCTTTTATACATGAGGCCCCTG